GCTTAAATCTGTACACAACAAGTCTTGCGATGATAAATGGGTTGGGCAAAGTCTAAAAATCCTATGGTTCCGCTCTTCTTTGTAATGGCAAAGCGGTTCATCGGTTCAGGCTTACGGGTATCCGTCGATATTAGAAACCAGATAAATCATATCCCCTCTATGGGGAAGCTAAGGATTCCCCCATAGACTCTAAAACCTAAAAGAGTAAGAAAATTGTTTGTATAAATGTCATCCATCCTTATGGAATTGCCCTCCTACCATTGGTGCCTAATGGTATTATTCCTTACTGTGGGGTCTTTTATCTTTTAATCTAAGCGGGAAGATTAGATTCTATGAGATAGCGCCTGAATTGGTCTAATGTTTTTACTTCCTTAGGGATTGGAATGAAAGGAGGAGGAAGGACGGAGGCTAGATCTGGAAATTTCCTATTTTTTTAACCTAGGAGGTCCATCCAATCTAACATTTGGAGTGATAAAGGTCCCTGCCTAAGTGCAAAAAAGTTAGCTCTATTTCCCAAGGATCCCACCCTTAGAAATGGAGAATCATCATGCTACTCATCTCTATATAGTAGAAACTTGTTAGGTTCACCTGAGGCCTTGCTTATGGATTCCCTACTCTTTCCCAATAGGATCTACTTTATGGGGGATTTTATCCTCATTCAAGGATTTTGCTATGCCGAAACACGTACGCTCATTAAAATTCCTAAATTCCTTGATCGTTGCTAACTTGTTCCCCCTTGCAAGTCGATTTTTGGTTATATTCATAGAGAAAAGATTGTGGTGTAATATAAGGAGGAATCCTTGCTATAGAATAGAAAAAACAATACAGTCATTTTTCAACCCAATCGCTCTAAATTTTTAATACCATTCAGTTTCGCTTGCTGTATATTTTATAAAAGTTAAAATTTGTTTCCATAGTGAGATTTTACATGGAGATCTTCTGTGGTCTTCAGAAAACCCTTTAAGGTACGATTCAGTTGTCTGCGCTTTTATGCTTGTGATCTGAAACACTTCAAACTAAGTTAATTCCGAAAATTTGAAGCAATTGGGTTGAGAAATGACGGGATTATAAGGTTTTTACTTTTGTATAGTCCCAGTGAATAAATCATATTTTCTGAAAAATTTATCTGTTACAGTTCTGTAATTCAGACACAGAACAAACACTGCCACGGTAATCAACGAGTCCGATAGCCTATGTACTATGTGTTTTTTAGGTTTCTAGAGCTCAAGTTTGGTCAAAAGATAGGTCTTCGGAGATCGCCTGTAGCGTCCAAACCATGATAAATGGAGGTGTCGACCTTGCGCCAGGTTGGAGAGCGGCTGCTCTATACCCACATGTATTTAGAGCAATTTCTCAACATGTGGATTTTTGGAATGACAGGCTCAGATGTTTTGCTCCGAATGGTACACCGTAGTAGACCTGTCGGATAAGACTCATTTTAGCATAAGATTATGCCCCCGGGTGCCCTCTTTCATAATCTCAAAGCCGCAGCTCTTTAGCTAATTCCGTTCTCGAGTTATTCGAATACATCCATGGCCACTCGAGTCAGAAATCCGCAGTAGAAACCTCGTTTGCCTAAAACCGAGTAACAAAAAATAAAAATCTGCTGAACTTTTGCTTTACGTGCATCTGACAAATAACTGCTTATGAGTAACATTTTTAAAAGGCAAATACAGGAAATTGTAGCGCTTGGAAACCTTTGGCAAATAACGTGTTGCTTCGCAATTTCTAATAAACTGTTAATTTGCAAATAAAAGTATAAGGCTAGATCTTTCAATTTTAACTAAATTTAAACTTAATTAATTAATAACTCTGTCAATTTGTCGAAAAAACTGAAAGATATATATAACCAGGTATTCTCTTTAAACTGACATAGTTTGAGGGCACATATAGGGAATATGAATCCCCCCTTAAACACATTACACACTAAAATACAGTCGCAGGAAAGGTTAGAAGAGAGACCGAGTTCGTGAAGCTGTCAAGCGTTTGGCAGAATTTTCGCATGCATCTCATAAAGTATTTCAACCTTCGGTGAATCGAATGGTGTATGATAAGTTAAAATTCTCTTTTTTATTCATAAGATATTGTTATTTTAATCTCACGGGACATTTTTCTAGTAAAAGTAGTTTTTCTCAAGAACGACAAAATATTTTAAGCCTCAAATTCGGGCATATACTCTACACCATTGGAGAAAAAAGCGGTAAGAATATCGCCGAGAAAACTTGATTATTAACAAAGATTTTTGAAAAACAAAATCGAGAACATTTGGTGTGCGAAGCTCGTTTTTGGAAAAGCAATTATCACTTTTTACAGTAAGAAGAGCATTGGTCTTTTACTTCTTTTTATCAAAATGATTCTCAAACTGTGGACTACCTTTTGGCTATTTTCGATAAAGAATACGTTTAGTTTTAGCTGAGATCGCGAGATTCAATCTCAAGGGAAAGAAAACGACTAAAGTGTTTGTAACAACATTATTTTACATATTTTGAGAAAGGAGTAGTCCGCATAAGGCTTGAAATCGGCCCACTAAATTATTACTATTTTATTGGCTAAATCTATCCAGAATTCATCAAACTTATCTTATTCAGTGCCTTCGACTTTTTCGGACGATTCAGATTGGACGTATACGATCAAATATACTCGCAGAGAAACACCCCCGTCACGCTATCATTATTACGGTAAAATCAAAATTTCTTCACAACTATACAGTACTTAGCTTAGTGTAATACACCCTTCGATGCGTCTTGAAAAGCTGTACAAGATGAGTTAATAAGAACCTTGACGAAGCGTGCCAGCGGCCACTGTTTGTTTAATACTAGATTTTTCCATAGGTCGTCGCTATGCCACTCGAACTATCGATCACTTTTCTCTATGAAAATAAAGGTGATCCCCAATCATTCATATATCATTCGATGCGTCTTGAAAAGGTCTACAAGACGTGTTAATAAGAACATTAACTATGCGAGGCAGCGGTCTTTGTGAGTTTAACTGTTCGCCGCTTAAACGTAAGAGAACTTGTATAGCGTTTTCTGTTTTAGTAACGTCTGCAAAAGATATGCAAGACACGTGTTTTATATGTTTTGCTTGTTTTTTGACCTTTAAGCAGCTGATTATTGTATGGACAGCTGATATTGCTATACAGCTGATTTTAATTTCACGTTTGTTTGTATAGCTTAAATATATACGTGAATATACAAAAATGCGTGGAGTGTGAATGATATGTTTGAAGTAGTCTTTTGTCTGTGGTGTAAATACTAGAAAGATTATTACTTTTTGCGTTGTGAAAGTTGTATCATATAAACGATGCATGTTAAATGTGTTGGATGTTGTCGAAACTTAGACGATAATCATCATAATAGAATTTCTTGTAAACTGTTGCAATTATTTATTTCTTCTCGGACGTTAAAACGAATATGTTTGGGTGATTGTATTTGCAAAAGCTGTCGGTCTAAGTATGATAGATGGGTAAGGAAGATCAAGAATGACTTTAAGAGTTTCATTCAAGACGCTCAAGCTAATATCGATATTGATAATAGTCAAAATAATTCTGAAGTATGTACCTCACCATGTTTTTGCAAATGTATATGAGACGGTTTCACCCTTGATAAATTGTTTAGAATATGGAAATTCACCATAGTAGTAGCCCAATGGAGTTGTCCAATATTAGTGTTGGTCAGATAACTGTTTCAGGCTCTGTGCAAATTCCTGTTCAGAGAGTAACCAAATCTCACAGGTATTTGGGCGTTGTAGTTTCTTTTATCTTATATCACACACTATTTCTGAGAAATTCACTTTACACCTTAGGTCGTGTGTGGTTTGCAAGAATAAAAGATAAAAATAATTGATAAAAAGTCATACGTTCTGTCTAGACAAATGAGAGCTGCAATTTGTATCAAACGAGGTGTTTACATTCCTGAGGGCTCTCGGTGTTGTGCTCATCATTTGTACAAAAAGAGTTTAACATTCGAAGCATGTCAACAAATATCTGGACTTATATCCGACGTTATAACATACACATCAAGTGACTTTCACAATTGCTTCGTGATTTTTGCACAGTTTCAGCAGTGATGCAGAAAAACATATTTGATTTCGACGATCCTTCTTCACTTAATGATGCTGCTTATTACAATCTAACAGGTTTAAAGAAAAGTCAGTATGATTAGAGATAGACGGCATGATTCTAGGGCGCAAATGTTTCTCTTTATTCAAGATGATTTTTATGCAAATTGAGATTAGGGATCAGCCACACTGTACTGTCTTCTATTTTTCACTTGAAAAACAAACAAAAAGTACAAGTTAGAGAAGCACTGATGCAAGAATTCGTTCCAAATAATATCGGTTTCGATCATATTACCAGAGAACAGATAATTAATCAACACACTACTGATCTAGCTAAAACACTTCTGTTCAATGGACAGTCGAGAATTTGTGTTATTATGGACGGAACTTATCTGTATTGTCAAAAGTCAAGAAATAACTACTTTCAGCGACGATCCTACAGCACTCACAAACATCGTCATCTTTTAAAACCAATGATAATAACATCCACTGACGGCTAAATAATAAGTGCTTTGGGCCCTTTTTTATCTGATTCGAAAAACAACGATGCCAGTATCATCACACATTGTTTCCTCAACAATTATGATAATATATTAGACCGGCCTAACCCGGAGGATATTATAATTGTTGATCGCGGATTTCGTGATGCAGTTAACGTTATGGAAGATACAGGATTCGAAGTTATGATTCCAGAGTTTTTAAACGGAAAAAAACAATTTACCACCTTACAGGCTAATTCATCACGATGTGTAACGAAAATGAGATGAGCTGTTGAAAGCGTTAATGCGATGATAAAACGTTGGAAATTACTAAATCAAACTATACAGAGTACCACAATACCTTACTTGGGAGAACTGGTTTTGATAGTTTGCGCATTAATTAATCGTTACAAATTCCGAGCTACTAGTGATTTAACAGACGCCTCTAATACAGGCCAACGAATGCTTGATATGCTTCATAAAGAGAATAAATTGGAAAAGCAGCTCGATCGTATGGATTTGAGAAAACCTTCTAAATGGACAGATGTTGATGCTGATCAAGTGGATTTTCCACAACTATCAGAAGATGCCATTAGAGAGTTGACCCTAGGTAACTTTACCATTACCTCAAGAAGTTTATTTATTTAAGTGTGTTCTATTTCCTTCTGTGTATTAAGGTGTATACCAAGTCAAACAGGCACGGTCTTACGTAGAAGAGAAGAAAGCATCAAATAATGATTCTATATTTACAGTTCAGGTGTGTGTGTAACTAAATCAAACTATCAATATCAGAGAAAAGCATATTTGCATAGCACACAAAAAGCGGTTCTTGCAGATAATACAAATATGTTTTTCAAACCTATGTCAACCAGTTTTCTAAACTAACTGCCGTCTTCTCAATTCCAGGTTTGTTCCACTACCAAAGATGTTATCCGTGTAAAATTGCAATCCCGTCATAAAAATTCTAAAATCTATTTATCCTACGTTCAATTTGACAAAGTAAACTCAGAACCAATACAAGGCTGGGATTGCGCATGTGCAACAGGGCCTAGAACTGTTGGCTGCTGCCGCCACGTGGCTACTCTTCTATGGTATCTCTGCTACGACCGACATACTACTGACACTAAACTTAACCCATCCACAACATTGATTAATTTTGTTCATGACAGTCAAACATAACAAGACTATGACCAAGTTCAGACGAAACAGACTCCCGATACGTTTTTTGCCGTGACAGTGCTCATTCGGACCAGTAAAGTCCCGTCTATGCTCTTTTCTACGAGGACAAATAAATGACCACACAAAAAGCCTAAAATCACCTGCTTAAAAGCCAAAACTAAACAAAACATGTAAAACACGTGTATTGCCCATCTTTCGCAAACCTTACTAAAACAGAAAACGATACACAAGTTCTCTTACGTTTAAGCGGCGAACAGTTAAACTCACAAAGACCGCTGCCTCGCATAGTTAATGTTCTTACTAACACATCTTGTAGACCTTTTCAAGACGCATCGAATGATATATGAATGATTGGGGATCACCTTTATTTTCATAGAGAAAAGTGATCGATAGTTCGAGTGGCATAGCGACGACCTATGGAAAAATCTAGTATTAAACAAACAGTGGCCGCTGGCACGCTTCGTCAAGATTCTTATTAACTCATCTTATACAGCTTTTCAAGACGCATCGACTGATATATGAACGATTAGACATTATTTTTATTTTCAAAGAGAAAAGTGATCCGTAGTTCGAGTGTCACAGCGGCGACCTATGGAACAACCTGGTATTCAATTCACAGTGGCAGCTACCAGGCTTCCTTAAGGTTCTTATTAACTCACCTTCAAGAGCTTCTCCGGACGCATCGAATCATATATGAATGATCAAGGATCACCTTTATTTTCATAGAGACAACCGATCGATAGTTCGAGTGGCATAGCGGCCACTTATGGAAAAATCTAGTATTAAATTCACAGTGGCCGCCGCCAGGCTTCCTCAAGGTTCTTAAAAACTCATCATATAGAACCTTTCAAGACGCATCGAATGATATATGAAAGATTAGGGACCAACTTAATTTCCATAGAGAAAAGCGATCCATAGTTCGAGTGGCATAGCGGCGACCTATGGAAAAACCTAGTATCAAATTCACACTGGTCGCCGCCAGGCTTCGTTAAGGTTCTTATAAATACATCTCGCAGAGCTCTTCAAGAAGCATCGAATCATATATGAATGATTAAGAATGACCTTTATTTTCATAGAGAAAAGTGATCGATAGTTCGAGTGGTATAGCGCCGCTCTATGGAAAAATCAAATATTCAACTCGCAGTGGCCGCTGGCAGGCTTCCTTAAGGTTCTTATTAACTCATCTTGTACAGCTTCTCAACACGCATCGAACTATATATGAATGATGAGGGATCACCTTTATTTTAATAGAGAAAAGTGATCGATAGTTCGAGTGGCACAGCGGCGGCCTATCCAAAAATCTAGTATTAAACACACTGTGGCAGCTAGCTGGCTTCGTTACGGTTCTTATTAACTCATCTTGTACAGCTTTTCAAGACGCATCGACTGATATATGAAATCATTTTTATTTTCATAGAGAAAAGTGATCGATAGTTCGAGTGGCACAGCGGCGACCTATGGAGCAATCCAGTATTCAATTCACAGTAGCAGCTGCTAGGCTTCCGTAAGGTTCTTATTAACTCATCTTGTACAGCTTCTCAACACGCATCGAATCATAAATAAATGATCAGGGATCACCTTTATTTTCATAGACAAAAGTGATCGATAGTTCGAGTGGCATGGTGGCGATCTCTGAAAAAATCTAGTAGTAAATTCACAACGGCCGCCGCCAGGCTTCGTTAACGTTCTTATTACCTCATCTTGTAGAGCCTTTCAAGACGCATCGAGTCATATATGAATGATTAGGGATCACCTTTATCTTCTGAGGGAACAGTAATCGATAGTTCAAGTGGTATAGCTGCGACGTGTGGAAAAATCTAGTATTCAATTCGCAGTGGCCGCTGCCAAGCTTACTTAAGTCTCCTATTAACTCAACTTGCCGAGCTTCTCAGGACGCCTCGAATCATATATGAGTGATTAGGGATCACCTTGATTTTCATAAAGAAAAGTGATCGATAGTTCGAGTTGCATGGCGGCGATCTATGGAAAAACGTAGTAGTGAATTCGCAGTGGCCGCCGCCAGGCTTCGTTAAGGTTCTTATTAATACATCTGGCAGAGGTCTTCGAGAAGCATCGAGTGATATATGAATGATCAGGAATGACCTTTATTTTCAAAGAGAAAAGTGATCGATAGTTCGAGTGGCATAACGGCTACCTGTGGAAAAATCCAGTATTTGATTCACAGTGGTCGCTGGCAGGCTTCCTTAAGGTTCTTATTAACTCATCTTGAAGAGCTTCTCAAGACGCATCCAATCATATATGAATTATTAGGGATCACCTTTTTCTTCCTAGAGAAAAGCGATCGATAGTTCGAGTGGCATGACGGCGATCTATGGAAAAATCTAGTATTTCATTTACAGTGACCGCTGCCAGGCTTCGTTAAGGTTCTTATTAATTCATCTTGTAGAGCTTCTCGAGACTAGGGGTGTAGCCGTAGCGGTTTTCCTTCTCAACTGTCAACGCTGCTGCATCAGTTGACGTTCTAAACTGTCAAGGTGTCGCATCAGTTGACGTTCTGAACTGTCAAGGTGTCGCATCAGTTGACGTTCTGAACTGTCAAGGTGTCGCATCAGTTGACGTTCTGAACTGTCAAGGTGTCGCATTAGTTGACGTTCTGAACTGTCAAGGTGCCACATTAGTTGACGTTCTAAACTGTCAACTGCGTTTCGTCAGTTGACGTTCTGAACTGTGAACGTTGAAACCCACCGGTCTAAGGTAGTTAAATGAGTGAAACCGTCATACTTTTCACGTAAAGCTTTGCCATGAATGAAGATCTCTCGTGAATCAAAATGTTTTGAGAAATTTTCCCGTTTTTTACGTTATTCTGCTCGTTTTGTGCCTCTTTT